AAAGGTCAAGTCGGCTCACCGGCGCATGGGAGGGAGGAGCCCACCGGAAGCACCGGTCAGCCCAGGACCGACCGACCGACCCACGGCCTGCTGCAACCTCTCTTCTCCTTTTTGCCTGCACATCAGGCGCAGCCAGAAGCAAAAGAGACAAGAGAAAGAGAGACAGGCACGAGACAGGTCGACGGTCGCCGAGGTGCTCGAAAGAGCAGCACGCACGCTATCAAGGTACGTACGTACGTGTAGCCCCATATCTCGACCGTTGACCTTGGCGCCGTATGGCTCCAACACCAGCTGGCCGGAAGGTGAGCAAGCAAGCAAGCAGCTCGGCGCCACGTCTGCGGGCCCAGCGGCCCTGCCTCCCACTCAGCCGAGGACGCGGGGCAACAGCGCCTTTCAACTGGCCACGTCGCACCTCCTCGCCACCTCCAGTCGAAAAAAAGAGAAGCCGGCCGGGCCCACGTCAGGACGGCCAACCGACCCGACCGACGGCCGTGGTCGCGTCTCGATGTCTTTTGTCTGGATCTCTTATCCTCTCTGTGTCAAACGTCGCTCGCAAGGTGTATGTACGTACGACCATGATTGTCATCCTGGCGCTCGTCGAGACACGTACGGTCGTGGCGGCGGCAGCAGCCAGACTGAGCGGTCTATTTGGCCATCGAGCGCAGGACCAAAGTCGGAGCATCTCCTTCCATCCTGCATTGGTCGGCCAGCAAGGGCTTCCCTCGCTGCTGCTGCTGCTGCTGCTGTCACGCACATCCCCTCTTTGCATCTCCGCACCCATGCCTGCCTCGCCTTGCCTTGCCTGCCTGCTCGCCCTTCTCTGCGCGTGTCCGGCAAGAAGCAAGGCGGAGGTTGCAGGCGCACATCATCTAGGACGCTGAGCGGGCGGGGGCAGGGCAGTCTAGCCTGGCAGCGGCTCAAAGTGAGCCGGTCGGGTCGGTCCATTTCAGATCACCATTGCCCCACGTTGGATCGCTCGTCCCTCTCCCGAGCGTCGGACGTCCTCATTGGGCACTCCTGGCCGTGCAGCAACAGCTCGAGGCGACCGAGCTTTACGCTCCTTGGAGTGACTACGTATCGCCATGTCGAGGCGGTAGGGGGCGTCTGCGCCGGAGATGTCCGTCGCGCCACGCCGAAGCTCGCGGCCACATCCCGGCGAGCTGGCGACCCTCACGCCGGCTCAAGTGGGGGGGGGGGCGGCACGGCGAAGGGCTCGGAGCTGTTTTCGTCTGCATTTTTCACGCGGCTTTTGCGCCAACCGGTCTGGCAAGCCAGCAGGCCAGGGTCTGGGTCAGGCCGAGCCTCATTCGGGAATCTCATGCTTTGGGCGTGGCCACCTGGCATATTGGCCCTCCCCACACACATACACGCATCGCCTCGACCTACCGATGGACTGGGACGAGCACAGCTGCGGCAGCTCCGTACGCAAAGGGTCAAGGCAGAGCGTAGCTCATTCGTTCCGGATCCGCACCAACGACAAAAGGCCAAGGTGGCCTTCGCCCATATCAGCCACTCGTGAACCCGTCATTCGCTCTTCGCCGACTGGCTCGTGTCGAGCTCGTGGAAGCGCGCGTGGGCCAACAGCATCCAGCTCGGGACGAGGGCCTCGCACTCACGGCAGACGGTGTCCTCGTCGGAGGATGCCTCAATCGAGGCATGCGCATTGTCGCGGCCCTCGCCGCGCTCGCAATCCAGATCGAGGTCCTCCGAGGCGCTGTCTTCTGCACCGCCGCCGACGACGAGGTGCGGCGGCAAGCCCGTGGCAGGCCACGTATCGTGGTCATGCTGCATCCAGACTGGCATCTCGAGTCGACAGCGAGGACACAGCAGCCCCTCGTCGTCCGGCGGTGCGGACGGAGAGCGGATGCTGCGCTCGACACTTGGCGCAGCACCTGCAACGCGAGTTGACGACGACGACGGCAACGCCAGAGGCGGCGGCTCTGGTTCAGGCGGGCCCGCTTCTTCCCGTTCGGTGCCCAGTTCTGCGAGCTTGGGGTCCAACGACAGACCATACTCTCTCATCACCTCGACGCGAAGATCCTCGGGCAACGCAGCGACAAAGTCGAGGTCAATAGGGCCGCCGCCCGGCGCACCAGTCGACGGCGCGTTGGTGGACCCTGCGACATCGGCCTTGATCGCCGGCTCCCTTCGTCGGCCGGCGACGGGGGCGGCAGGTGCAGCTTTGGCCGCTGCGAAGAAGCTCTCGAGCGCCTTTGTCGGCTTCTGTTCCACCAGATCGAGCGCGGCGATGTTGATCAGGTTCATCGACTCGCCCACCACATCGTCGCCGCCAATGAGCGCCCGCAGCAGCGCCCGGCACGCCTTGTAAAGCACCTTGGCGCGATCCCGCCGCGAAATGGAGAGGTCAAAGATCTGGACGGGCATGGACGCTTGCTTGGTGATCCGGCTGTTCCAGCCCTGACGCACGGACAGACGCACCCGAAGCGGGTAGCGCAGCCATGTCTTGGTGTCCTCGCCTTTGGTTCCAGACACGGGCGCTATCGCATCGGCAACCTCTCGATAGCCTCGTACGGCCACCTGTGCCGTCCGCGACGGCGGAGGCTGCATGTCTGGCGCCGAGGTAGCTGATCCCGGCACGTCTTCCGTGCGCAAAGCCTCCTGCAGCTCCTGGCTGCTGGACACTGCTTCGTGTCTGATGCCGTCCAAGCTAGCATCGCGGTTCTCCTTGATCAGCTCTGCCTCGAGCCGCCGCAGCAGGCTCTCGGACAGGACGAGAATCTGATCATGGATCTCCTGGCCCCGTATGCCCGGATATGTGTCCTCGATCGAGATCTGTATTGGAAACTCAGGCGCCGGCACGACGGGCTCTCGGTCGATACCGCAGGCCAGGTGCCAAAGCCTCTCGCCGACTCTGGCGCCAAAGATGCCGGTCATCAGCGACATCGATGCAGCCTTTCGCGTGGCGCCGACCGTCAGCCGGCTGCGGGCGTCGCGCTGCTCTGCAGGCACTGCCTCGAGGAGGGCGGTGCGGATCTTGTCGACGGCCACCCGACCGAAGCCGTTGATCTGACCGAGGTCCAAGGGGTCGAGGAGCTCCTGCACCTGGTCCAGCCGAGAGCGGATCGGGTCCCTCCCGATCGAACGTGGGGCGAAGGTCGTCTGCTGGTTCGGCTTGTTCTTGGCGCCGACCAGCTTGGCCAGCATCTTGGAGTGTGCAACACCAGCCGAGCAGGTGAGGCCGATCTTGTCCGAGACCTGCTGGCGGAGGTACGAGGCTAGGTGGGCTGCCACGAAGAGACGCTGCTGGTAGCGATCCGGTGCTGAGCTGCGCAGCTTGTCGGCGGCCTGACTCGGCAGGACGTGGCCTTGAGGCAAGGTGGGCCAGGGAGCGTAGTCGAAGCCGCTCGAGGACGAGGCTGAAGCGCTGCCGCGACCCTGTCCATCCTGTCGCTTGCGAATGTCAAATCGGCACAGATTGCGGCCATCGTGCTGGCCGGCTGGCGGCAACGAGGCAAGGTGAGCGTCTACCATCTCAGTGACCTGGCAGCAGAGCAAGCGTCCATGTGCGAGGTGCAAAGCGCGTGTTTGGTCAGCCTGAGCGACCATCGACAGAAGGCACAAGCGTCCGGCGCCGACTCACGTCGCAGAAGAGCTCGTCCATGCCCAGCTTCTCGACCCTGCCGTCCCACACGATGCCGCGGACGAGCCGCCAGACCTGGTTGGAGACGAGGCGGAAGTAGGAGAGATCTTCGCCGTTGACGAGGATCATCTCGGGGCACTGCTTGATGGCGTCCGAGATGCTGGCGAGCTTGCGGACCCCCATGGCTCGCGCCTCGTAGCTGATGGTGGCGAGGAGGCCCTTCTGCTGGATGCCAATGGGGAGGCCGATGAGCGACGGATCGCGTTTGCGCGCCGCCGCGACGTAGAACGCATCGAGATCGAGCGCGACGATCAGCCGGCCCTGGTCGTCCAGCTCGGACCGCAGCTGCGGATCTGCAGAGGTGTCGATGCCATCGCCCTGCCGGTACGCGGTGCGGATCCGCTTGGGCGCTGGAGATCGGCCCGTATCGTGGTCGCCCATCCTCGATCCGAGGCGCCGCTCTTGTTTCAAGGCGCAGCGAACACCACCATACCGCGTCCGCGGCGAAAGGACGCAAGAGACCTCTCGATGGATAGAATGGGTGAGCTGGAAGATGGAGGGCGGGAGGCAGCGACGCGACATGCCTGGCCCAGCCCGAGCGTCGTGGCCTCCGGACTGGCTCAGGTGGAGGCGACTAGGTTCAATACAGCAGCAGTTATATTTACAATGACTGGCGCGTCGAACACCAAGGGGCAAGATGGCCGAGTGGTCTAAGGCGTAGCATTAAGGAAGATACCTCGCAGCAGCGAGGGGCAATCTGCTATCTTCGGGCGTGGGTTCGAATCCCACTCTTGTCATACCCTTTTGCCTTCAACGGAAGGCGTCGCGTTTTCTTTCGTCCTTTTTGCTCTTCGAATCGACACCCTCAGTGCTGCTGCTGCTGCTGCTTCTACTGCTGTATAGACGCTTGGGAACACGGGCTGCTCTCGGCTGGGCAGTTCTGGGGCGGGCGAAAGGTCCCCCCTGAGCAGGGTGATGGGCCGCATGGCGTGGTACTATTGCTTCAACTCTGTAGGGCCCGACTGGATCACGGAGCGGCGGATCCATCGGCGGCACCGACACCGGTGCCGCTAGCGCCGAGGGGGGCGACGGCGAGGTCTCTTAGTACAAAGACGTCCATCTCGACCCTGTTTTCGGCGACGGTGATGGCCTGGAGGATCATTTCGAGCCTGTGCCAGTTTTCGCGCTCCCACTCGCTGAGCAGGCCGACGGTGTCGCTCTTGACGTCGGTCCGCTCGACCTTGCGCAGCAGCGGAGCCTGCCTCCGCATCTCCTCGTTGCGCCGCTGCCCCAGCCTCGCCAGCGTCTGGTACAGCCGGTCAATCAGCCACGCCTTGCACTTTTCCTCGTCGACGAACCACAGGAAAAACGTCTTGGCCGGATCCCGGTCCTTGGTCTTTGGAATCTCCTGCAGCCCCAGCAGCGACGACGCAAACAGCCGCGAGCAGATGTCGCGCGTCTCGTTGATGCTGATGAGCGCAAGGCGCGAGATCTGGTGGCAAGAGGTACAGGCGCGGTAGGAGAGCATGAAAGAGAGGGTTGCCGTCAGCGATCGCGCGCGCTACACATGCATGCAGCAGGTGGATGGGAATGGGCGGTCGGGGTCGGTGGCCGCTCTGGCGCGCAACTCACGTGCTTCTCCTCGAGCTTGCCCTTGTCGCGCAGGATGCCCATGATGCGGACGGCCGCGGTGCCAAACTTTTCCTCGACAACGTTCTTCAGCAGGTCGTGGCGCATGCGCTCGGCCGTGTTGCGATAGTCGACGCGGTAGCTCGACGCCACCTTTCTGCCCGAGGCGGCCTTGGTGGTGCCCTCGCCGTGCGGTGAGACGAACCGCTGCGTCTTGGCCCTGGTGGAGATGTCGTCGAGGTGGGCGAAAATGGCGCAGTACTCGGCCAGGAACTCCTGCCGCGTCGGCGTCGCCTTGTCCTTGCCAAACGAGCGCCGGTCAAAGCCCTTTTGGATCTGCAGCGTCGAGGGCAGCTTGGGCGCCAGCAGCGTCAGCGAGACGCCCGCCGAATACGCATCGCGCACACTCTGGCGGCTCGACGCCGACTCGCTCGCCTCGATCAGGTGGCGGAACACCTCGGCGGCGGTGCTGTTGTAGCGCGACCGGATCGCCTCGACCATGATCTCGTTGCGGACGTGGATGTCGAAGCGATCCGAGTTGATGCGCAGCCAGACGTCGAGATCGAGGTCAAAGTCGTCGGCCGGATCGGCCTTGCCCGAGTGGATCGAGGCCGGAAAGCCGTTGAGCTCCTTGTCCTTGCCCTTCTTGTCCTTGGCGCTCGTCTTTGCCCGCTTGGACGACTTCCCCAGGGTCGCAGCCGCGTTGGCCATGGCCAGGGCCGATTGCGACTTTCGGACCAGGCCGCGCCGCGTCTCGCCGCCCGCCGCCACCTGGTGTGCCGGCCTGGACGAGGCGTCATCGGCCTCCCACTCCTTTTCCCTCTCTTCGGCAATCATGTTGAGCACGCGGGTGCGAATCTCCTTGAGCTCCTTTGGCGTGGGGATGCCCTTGATCTTGCGTCGTTCTCTCGTCTCGTAGGCAATCTCCTTGTCGCGCGGCGAGACGTGCTGCGCCAGCGTCGAGGGGCGGAGGTAGGTGTGGTAGAGGAGGTGGACCAGCTGACGCTTGACGGCCTCGACCCGCAGCTCCTGCTCGCGCACATCGGCCTTGCGCTTGGAACCGGCCTTGGCGTCGGCACCATTGGCGTGGCCGTTGGAGGCCGACACACCCTCTGCGCCGATCCCGGCGGCTGCGGGGTCATCAGGCTGTGGCGGTGGTGGGGCCGTCATCTGCTCGAGGAGATCGCGCGCCTGCATCTTGCCGTGCTTGAGGACGAGCATGACGATGCGTGCGGCGTCCGGCCCGATAAAGTCCTCGGCGATGCTGATGTACTTTCCGAATCGGAGCCGCGCAAGGACCTCGTTTGGGTTGATCTCAAAGTACTCTTGCGCCTCGTCGCCGAGCTCCGGGTCGGTGGAGCTGTGCCAGGCGCAGCCGTGCTGGATCATGGTCATGATGGCCTGCTGGATGAGTCGCTTAGGCACGGGCAACGGAGCATTGGGGGCGCCGCCCGGTGCAGTTGCGGCTGCGGCCGATGAGGTGCCGGCGGCCGAGAGTGGGTCCGTGTGTCCGCGGTTGGTGCGAGAGGTGGGCTGCTTGAGAAAGCGAGAGAGGTCGCGGACGGTCATGCGACCGCGGCGGAGCAGGAGGGCGCCGACGCGGGCGGTGATGGGGCCAAAGTGCTGGAGCAGGATGTGCTCGCACAGCTTGATCTTTTGGGGTGAGTGGGCCGTGCTGGACATGGTGGGCGGGCGGAGTCGCACAGCGAGGAGGAGGTGAGCTGAGTCGCGAGGTCGTCAAGGGTAGGGCCGCAGGGAAGGGTATGGGCGCGAATGGGCCGAATGCCTCGGGCGATGGCGTTCGTCGCAGAACCAGCTTCCCGGAGCAGAGCTTGGTTTGCAAAGGAGGGAAGACAGGGGAAAAGAGGCTCGAGCGTCGATGGGCCACGCACGGCCAGGAACGAGGCTCTGGACCGAATCGCGACGGCGTGCGTCGTGGATGGCGAGCTTCCGTGTCGAGGTGACAGGCCGCTGTCGAAGGTCGAGGAGGCGGCGATCTGATGCTAGAGGGGGATCATGGCGAGGAACAGGGTCAGGGTCAGGTTCAGGGTCGGGGCAGGGATCGGCGGGTGGTGGAAGGAGCCAGAGAGCGGCCGAGGAGCCAGCTGGCCAAAGTTGGCGCTCCTCGTCAGGCTGCGGTTTTTCAGGGCCTGGCTTGGCTGGCCTGGCCTGGCCTGGCTGCATTTTTTGGCCTGGTTGCGGCCTTCCCTCTTCCCTTTCCCGATCCCTCGTCAGCCTGTCTATCTGGCTGCTGTGCTGGTGGCCCACGTCGAGGGCGGCCAGCCCAGCCTGCTCCACTTTTTTTGGGTTTTCTTCTTGGGGGCCGACTGGCTGGCTCGGGCTGATGACCCTCGGTGGCCTCTTTGGGCAGGCAAACCAACCACCAACCTCTTCTGGCTCCTCGCTCCGGACTCTCGGCTCCCCTCGCTCCCATCCTCCAACTCACACCGACTGCTCGCTCCCTCACCGTAAACTCCCTAGCATGGACGCGCAAGATACCAACCAGACTGCTACACCCACCGACGCCGCTCAGCCCTCTTCGACCCCATCTGCTGAGCAGACCACCGACTCGGCCCCACCTCCCGCCCCAGCTCCCGCTGCCGCTGCCGCCCCTGCCACGGCTCCCACATCGAACGCCATGGCAGCCACCTCGCTGGGCTCTGCAGCTCGCGCGGCCTCATCCGCCACGGCAGCGATAGCAAAGCGGCCCCTCTCGGGACTCTTTGGCGTCAACAAGCCCAGCGGCCCCACGTCCATGTCGCTCCTCGACCAGCTCAAACCCCTCTTTGCCTCGTCGCCCCTCTTTGCCGATGCCGACGGCAAACCCGTCAGGGACCACAACAAGAAGCGAGGAAAGTGGGGCAAGGGCAGGCGGGGAGGAGGCTTCGGAGGCGCAGCAGCAGGAGCGCCAAAGATCGGTCAGGGCGGCACCCTCGACCCGCTCGCCGACGGCGTCCTCGTCATTGGCGTCGGCGCAGGCACAAAGCACCTCCAAAAGTACCTCGACTGCACAAAAGAGTACCGCACCACGGCGCTCCTCGGCTCGGCCACCACCTCGTACGACTGCTGCGACCCCATCCTCTCCCGCGCACCCTTCCACCACGTCAACCCGCACCTCCTCGGCAGCCTCTTGCCCAACTTCACCGGCTCGCTCCTCCAGTTCCCCCCGCTCTACTCGGCGGTCCGCATCGACGGCAAGCGGCTCTTCGAGTACGCCAGGGAAGGCCTTGAGCTGCCCAGACCCATCGAGGCGCGCAAGGTGCGCGTCGACGAGCTCCGCCTCGTCGACTGGCTGCCCGCCGGGCGGCACGCGTTCAAGGAGCCCGAGCGCGAGGTGCCCGACGACGAAAAAGCCCTCGTGGGAAGGGTGAGGCAGATTGCCGGCGTCGGCGAGGGAATGGGCGACACGCGCAAGGTCGACGAGGACGGCGAGGCCGGTGCAGCAGCGGCCGCAGAGGCAGACGAGACGACACCGGCCAACGCAGCGGTGTCGACAGAGTCTGGGTCTGGCCTTGCCGCTGCCGCTCCTGATCTACCGGAACAGACCGAGGCTGACGGCGGCGAACCAGCACCATCGGCTCCGCCAGCCTTTACCCTGGAAATGACGGTCTCCTCGGGAACGTACGTGCGGTCCATCGTGCACGACCTGGCCATGGCCGCCGGCTCGGCAGCGCACGTCCAGGTGCTGACGCGCACGCGGCAGGGCGAGTGGAGCATCGACACGCCTGCCGTCTCGCAGAGCGCCGTCGCCACGACGCAGCCGCAGCCGGCCGATGCAGGCGAGGCGGCATCGTCCAATCCTCCGGTCATCAAGGGAAACTGTCTGCCGTGGGAGGTGTTTGCCGACGCCATCGACGAGCTAAACAAGGAACAGCGCGAGCCGGGGTACCAGACGCCGAGAGACGACCAGGGTCTGCGCGAGTGGGAGCGCGAGTTGCTCCGCGTCATTGTGCCGGTCTGATGGGATACGCGGGGGCCGCGGCGTGGAAGCGCTTCCGATCGGGGACGTGTACGTGTAGACAAGAACAAGCTGGGGGGTATGATGAAGCAGAGACTGGAAGAAGCCAGGGGGATCCGCGGTGGTCGTGGAGCGTCTACTCGCCCCCCGATCGGTGGAGCGGCGGTGGCGAACGGGTTCTAGCATCGCTTCTCGATCCAGCTGGTACGTGGAGGACGGGGAGCGCGCAAGGGATGCTCTGGTCAGCCTGGACGAGTCCCGCTGCCCGATCTGCACACGCACACACAAGCGACAGACTGCGTCGCCACTCACTCGACGATGTACTGGGCCGCGTCGATCTTGTCCTGACCCGGCTCCATGAGGATGTCGTGGTAGAAGCCGTCGAGCTGCTTAAACTCCTTGTCGTCCGTGCTGGCGATGTTGTCGACGAGCTGCTTTGTGCCGAGGTGGTCGGTGACGAGGTCGCCGGTGCCGTGGAGGGCGAGGAGGGGCTTGTCCTTGGGCCAGTGCTCGTAGTCGCGGGTGATGATGGCCGGTCCGCCGAATAGGGGGCCGGCGATGGTCTTGATGTAGACCTTTTTCTGGCAGAAGCGGTCGTTTTCAAAGTTGGCGGCGACGACGGGGTCGCGGCAGATGTTGGCGCCCTTGAGGTCGACGTACCACGGCATGCCGGGGATCTTGGACATGATGTTGTTGCCCACCCAGGCGAGCAGCGGGTGCGGCGGCTCAGTCAGACGCAACCACGGCGCGACGGCAATGGTGCCCCTGACCAGGTCGCGCGCCTCGGCCGACGGGCTGCTGGTCCTGTTGGCCATTTTCCACGCGTCGGAGCGCGTCTGGAAGGCGAGGACGATGCCACCGCCCATCGACTGGCCCATGTTGAAGATGGGCACGGCGTCCTTGCCCCACCGCTCGTCGAGCCGCTGCCGCGTTTGGCGCACCACGTTTTCCAGGTCCTCGAACTGGAGCGGCCAGGTGGCGTAGCCGTACGCCTTGGCCGGGTTGGCCGTGGCCGCCGCCGTCTCGCCCCACCCGCGCTGGTCAAAGGCGACGATCTCGTGGCCCTTCGAGGGCCACACTTTGAAGATCTCGCGGTACCGTTCCGAGTACTCGACGAAGCCGTGGCAGAAGACGGTGCACGACTTGGGCTGCACCTCGTCTTGCCCCGCAGCCTCGTCGTCGCCGCTCGACGAAGATGCCGCCGTCGGGTACCATCGCTTGGCCCAGAAGCGCATCTTGTCGGCGTGCGTCGAGTCGATCCAGTACTGCTCGGTCGAACCCGCATTGGGGATTTCGATCCTCGGCGGGTCCGGAGAGGTGGTGGGCTTGGCCATCGTGGCGTCGGGTTCTGTCGGTGGTGGTATCTGTTGCGTGGTCGGCGGGCGACGAAGAAAGTGGTGGTGGTGGTAACAGCGATGATGGATGAGAAGGACCGGAGCGATCCAGCTTGCGTCCCCGGAGGCCCGAGCGAGCGTGACAGGCGTCAGGGGCCGGCCCGCAGCGTGGCGGAAGAACGATTCCGACCCCAAGAAAAAAAGTATCGAAAAAGATTTGCCTCCTAGCCGATTTGAACGACTGACCTCGTCATGGCGATCCGGGAGGGACCGGAGGCGTACAAGCGTACTAGTGACGCGCTCTACCACTGAGCTAAGGAGGCAGCTGTGCCACGAGGGAGAAATAATGCATATATATACACCTCGCTTTTGGGCAGAAGACTGCGACCTCAGCCTGGGCTCAGGAAGCGGGCCAGCGGGACGGAGGCTGGTGGCGAGGCTTGCCACTTGACAGCACTCGCAGTCGTTTGGTGAGGGATCTGGACGACTGGTCGTGGAGGAAGGCTCCGGGGGCTGCCTTTGTCCTGTCTGACGCAGCGACGGCGGGGGGGATCTGCAACGGCCGTGCGGTGCCTGGATGCCATGGAGGGAGAGGCAGGCAGGGCAGGGCGATGTGCAGCGGCGCCGACGGTCCGCCTGCCTGGCCGTCTGACCCACGTCGGCTTGGATTGCTCCACCTGCCCGCGTTTCTGGCTGCGCCTAGCCCTGCCTGCCTGCCTGCCTGGGCCATTGAGCCGCCGTCGATGCAAGATTTGACAAGCGGACCCTGGCCTCTGTTTCCTTCCGGCGGACAGAGAGGCCTAGGCGGGCAGGCCGAGGGACGATCCTGGTCCCTGGTCCCTGGTCCCTGGTCCCTGGTCCCTGACTCTGACCCGAACTGACCTGCTGCCTGCTGCCTGCTTCCTGCGGCTTCTTGATCGTCGGTACGATGAGCCTGTCTCGCACCCCTTCCTTCGTAGAGCCTTAATCCTCGACACTTGCTTCTTCACCCTTCCTCTCCCTCCTCACTTCGTTACCGCCTCTCCTCCATCTGTCACCCTCCCCCTCTCTTGCTCCATCTCGGACCTCGCCGCCACCATGCCGGAACCCATCACAACCACCACCACCACGACGACGACGACGACCATGACGCCGCCGCCGTCGGCCATCCCCTCCGACGAGCGCGCGTGCTGGGCGACGCTCATGACGTCCGAGCACCTCCTGCCGGGCCTCGTCGTCTTTGCCGACTCGCTGCTGCGCACTCACGCCTCGCGCTACCCGCTCGTCGTCATGACCACGTCCAAGCTCTCCCACCGCGCCCTCGCCGTCCTCGCCGCCATCCGCAACGTCGTCGTACGCCCCGTCGAGCCCATCTACCCGCAGCTCGCCGGCACCCACCTCGCCACCCCCCGCTTCGGCGAGGTGTGGACAAAGCTGCGCGTATGGGACCTCGACGAGTACGACCGCGTCGTCCTCGTCGACAGCGACATGCTCGTCACCCGCAACATGGACGAGCTCATGCTCGACGATACCGTCTTTGCACCGCACGGCGCTCCAGACAAGGCTGACCAGTGGATCGCAAGCTCGTTTGCCTGCACCTGCAACCCCAACCGCATCAAGACGTATCCCGACGACTGGTGAGGAGGCCCCGTTGCCCCCGTCCCTTTTGCCTCTTTCGCTCGCTTTCGCGCCGACTCGACTCGACTGACCATCACCGCTGCCTCCCCGCGCTTCCGAGACCCCCTGCAGGATCCCGGCCAACTGCGGCTACACTCCTCAGTCGCACCCGTCGGCCCTCACCTCGCCCCTCCAGCCCACCGCGTCATCGCCGCCCACGCACCGCCTCATCAACTCGGGTCTCGTCGTGCTCCGTCCAGACTCGACGACGCTGCGCCGCATGATCGAGCGCATCAACACCGACCCGCGCGTCGTCGCCTACCGCTTCCCCGACCAGGACTTCCTCGCAGATTGGTTCGAGGACCGCGTAAAGATCCTCCCCTGGACCTACAACGCCCTCAAAAAGCTAAAGACGGTACACCCCAACATCTGGCGCGATCAAGAGGTCAGGAACGTCCACTACATCCTCGAGTGAGTGCCCGGCCTTTCCCACCTTGCTCCCTTCCCCTTCCTCTCCTCCTTCTTTCTCGTCCGGAGGACAGCCGGGGACGGTGACTAACCAGCGTCATCTCTTCGCCTCCGATCCCGCCTCGCCGCGCACGCACCACAGCAAACCTTGGAAACTCGGACGTCCCGGCACACCGGCCAACCCAAAAGACATCGACGCCGAGATCCACTCGTGGTGGTGGGACGCCTTTGACCGGCTGCGCCAGCCGGCGCGCTACAACTCCAAGGACGGCTCGTTTGCCATCTCGTCCGACGACTGGCGCGAATGCGTCGAAAGCTACGTGACCCTGTCCTTGTCCTAGAACCCCCGCGTCGTCTTTGTCTTTCTAGGGTCCCCGGCTCTCTCTCTCTCTTCTCNCTCTCTCGTCGTCTCTCTCTCTCTCTCGTCTCTCTCGTCTC